CACGTTTTCATCAGCACGTAACGTCACTTGAATTATATACTTAACACACAGCAGGTATATGTTAACTAATTTTGCTTTCGGGTGTTTTCAGTCGCATGATATAGAGCCTTTCCGACTAGGATGCTTAAATAAGACGTGTCCATAAGAATAAAGACGAACCAAAACGTGGATGGATACTTTCTTTTCAGACTGTTTACTGTCTATTCCTTTAGTACTCACTGCGCTGTGCGTATAATATATTCCTAAAAATAAAACCCCAAAATCGGTATTCTGTTGTAAGTATAAGGATTTGTTAATTAGTGAAAAATAAGAATAAAATTACCCCCCCCCCCAGTTATTGGTAAACAACAGTAAAGTGTTCTATCACTAGTAATGACGTCATTTCTTTAATGATCATAGTAATATTGCTTCAGATACCAGATTGGCAGATGGACATTATGTGGAAGGGGTTTATTATCAGACATCTTGAACATTTTGTCATGATGACGTGTTAGGAAGTTTCTCGTTCCTACTCAAGACTCAATGATGCCAGTCTTTATCCTGAAGAAGTTTCTCGTTCCTACTCAAGACCCAGTGATACCAGTCTTTATCCTGAAGAAGTTTCCTACTCAAGACTCAATGATACCAGTCTTTATCCTGAAGAAGTTTCCTACTCAAGACTCAATGATGCCAGTCTTTATCCTGAAGAAGTTTCTCGTTCCTACTCAAGACCCAATGATACCAGTCTTTATCCTGAAGAAGTTTCCTACTCAAGACTCAATGATGCCAGTGTTTATCCTGAAGAAGTTTCCTACTCAAGACTCAATGATGCCAGTCTTTATCCTGAAGAAGTTTCTCGTTCCTACTCAAGACTCAATGATACCAGTCTTTATCCTGAAGAAGTTTCTCGTTCGTACTCAAGACTCAATGATACCAGTCTTTATCCTGAAGAAGTTTCGAGAAACTTCGTCATAACATAGTAATCTAGGTACGATGTCTGATAGTTAAAACCTTTCAACGTCGTCATAACACGGTAATCTAGGTACGATGTCTGATAGTTAAAACCTTTCAACGTCGTCATAACACAGTAATCTAGGTACGATGTCTATAGTTAAAACCTTTCAACGTCGTCATAACATAGTAATCTAGGTACGATGTCCGATAGTTAAAACCTTTCAACGTCGTCATAACATAGTAATCTAGGAACGATGTCCGATAGTTAAAACCTTTCAACGTCGTCATAACAAGTAATCTAGGTACGATGTCCGATAGTTAAAACCTTTCAACGTCGTCATAACATAGTAATCTAGGAACGATGTCTGATAGTTAAAACATTTTAACTGGCAATGGTGTTTCTAACAGACCAGTAGGTTTCTTATCTGTTGATAGTAACTATGGTGACGGTTTTATCCATTTAGAATTTGTTTTGTAGGAGTTGAAAACAAAGCCACTAGTAATGATTAAAGTTTTAGGATGAAGGCGCTGCGATCAATAATTACAAAAAATTGGCTGAAACGGGTAATTTTTATGTTCTCTGCGGATGTTGGTAACGCATTCTTCGATCCAAGAGTTAAAATTAACTAGCCCATATTAGTCCTACCAAACTGTCTTTAAGTTCCTTTCATCTTCTCTGTGATTTCAATATTGAAGTAAGAGCTCAGAAGTTTTTATCCATCATTTTTTGTAGGAACATTCATGACTCGTTGAGGGTAAATTAATATGATTGGTACTTCGATTGTGGCATGTACAATGTCCGTTTCAGACATGGCCTTAGTCAAAGCTGATTTGTTCGTACGAAATGTACCAGTTTGTAAACTTTTATTTATGAGAGCTGGGGCAGTCGTCTGTGCTAACTGTTCTTTCTTGAGTTCCACATCTGAAGAGACGACTGTGGAAAACCCAAAATTTACACAGTGGCTAAGTAAATAAGTTTTGTTCAGCGTAAAAAAAAACTGAATGTTTGAAGTCGTTATTAGTAATATTATTAGTCCAAGGTTCGAGACCATATTAGTAACATTATTAGTCCAAGGTTGAGTCCGTATTAGTAGCATTATTAGTCCAAGGTTGAGTCCGTATTAGTAGCATTATTAGTCCAAGGTTGAGTCCGTATTAGTAATATTATTAGCACAACGTTCGATTCGTTATTAGTAATATTATTAGTCCAAGGTTCGAGTCCGTATTAGTAACATTATTAGTCCAAGGTTGAGTCCGTATTAGTAACATTATTAGCCCAACGTTCGATTCGTTATTAGTAATATTATTAGTCCAAGGTTCGAGTCCGTATTAGTAACATTATTAGTCCAAGGTTCGAGTCCGTATTAGTAACATTATTAGTCCAAGGTTGAGTCCATATTAGTAACATTATTACTCGAAAATTCGAGTCCATGTTAGTAACATTATTAGTCCAAGGTTCGAGTCCATACGATACCAAAAAAGTACCCCTTTCACTTTGAGCTATGGCTGCATTATAAGAATAACAGTCAGTCTCTTAACGTGAAAGATAGTTTGTTGGGTGCTGTTTTCCCTTTTGGCCAGTAGTTCAAAATTAGGGACGACGGCAGAGTTGCTTGGTAACGTTGTCATAACAACTAAAATGATCATAGCTCTGAGTTCTCAGACAACCTGCTGAAATTATGCCGGAAGGTCTGAATGTAATTTATTGACTCGATTATTTAGTGCTTGCGCATCGCTGTTAATTCTTTAATATTATACAGGCATGCCATTAAATCATATTCGAAAAAAAAAACTTGTAGGGTAGAGGTCACGAGCAATTTCCTGACCTCCTTTTAGAGGCACGTTTCGGGAACATTTTCCTAGCCTTGGTTAGCCCTTCCTGACGGTTTGTTCCGCCTGCTTCATGTTTGTCTTTTCAGGTCCTAACTGACTAGTAACAGCTGGTTTAGATTGTTGAACGTTTTTATTGTATCGGTCGTAATCGAGTTTCGTGAGTCAGAACTAAAGCTTTGTGGACTTGAAGAGTTTTGTTTTTCACGTGCGTGTTAAATTTCTCCTCGAGGTAGGTTGGATTTTTGTCTTACTGTCCATCTTTGTACATACACTGAACTGACGAACAAAAACCTGGAAGATCGTTGAAATGTTGCAACAATATTATTAT